ACAGCAGCACATACCTCGTGTTCGAGTATGAGAGGTCTCCCAGAAGATTTCTAGTTGTGATTTAGGGTCGCTGAAGGGTCCTGGGACCTCTCAGGTCCCTCTGTAGATCCGCCACTGGGAATAAATACGTTTATCAACGTTTAAGTAATAAATCAATCATCAACTTTCATGTCCTTTAGTTTTCAAACATTTGTCTTCAAATTTACTCTTCCTAGCATTACCCTTATAGATATTTAATTTGTGGAGAATTGTATTCTTCTATTTCTCAAGGAAACTGTTATTAGCATTCTAAAAATCTCATTTGGCACTCCAAACTTTCTATTATTAGAAAGAAAAATATACTTGTGAAGAGTGTAAAATGACATTTTTGAAGTGCTAATAAGAGTTCCCTTTCTCAATATGCCTCTAATTAATGTTTCAGATTTTAACCAAACAATTATAACTTCTCTTTTTTTATTAAAAAACTAGCATATGGGCACACACAAAGTGTGTGAGAAAATTTTTTACTTTTGTTTTTGAAATAGAAGGAGAGAGAAATATAGTGATAGAGAATGTGGGAGTGGGAAGTTTTTTATTTTTTTTTTATTTTTTTTAATTAGAGATATGTTAGGATTACATGTAGGTGAGTCCTTGAAAAAAAACAACAGCAAAATTTGGTTGTGTGAAATTACATTTCTACTCCATATTTCTTATTCATGTTCTATTTTAATTAGAGGGTTAAAGTGGTGATTTCATAGAGTTTTGGATGACAATGAGTGTTTTATTAATTAGTTTTATTAAAAAAAAAAAAAAAAAACCTAGCATATAGGCACACACAAAGTGTGTGAGAAAATTTTTAATTTTGTTTTTGAAATAGAAGGAGAGAGAAATAGAGTGATAGAGAATGTGGGAGTGGGAATTTTTTTTTTTTTAATTAGAGATATGTTAGGATTACATGTATGTGTGTCTTTGAAAAAAAAACAGCAAAATTTGGTTGTGTGAAATTACATTTTTGTCTCATATTTCTTATTCATGTTCTGTTTTAATTAGAGGTTTAAACTGGTGATTTCATAGGATTTTGGTTAACAATTAGTGTTTTATTAATTAGTTTGGATAATAAACATTTCTTATTTGTTTTAGAATTTTATTTTATTTTAAAAGGTCATGTTTTTAAGCTCTTGATGGAGTCGTGGTTTCCTTCTTCCCCTTTTTTTATAATTTATTTTTGACGGTTTTTTTTTTTTTTTTTTATTTGCTTTGCTATCTATCGAGAAATTTTAGTTTCCACAAAAAATAATATATAAGGTCACTGCCTACTGTTTACCAATATTCAAGCATTATAATTTATAAGCATCATACTTTTGTAAAGCCATTTGCGCAAATTGTTATACAAAGAAAGCAATTAAACAAAGTTAAACAATTGAAAAAAAAATCTTATATCAGCATTTTATTTTCCACTTTGAAATCTCATTTGCCATTTTCTTTTCTTCTTCTTTCTTTTTTTTTTTTTTTTTTTTTTTTTTTTGTATACCAATTCTCGGTTAACTTTGGCCTCCTATTAGAATAATGCATTTGAAAAAAGAACAAGGACAACTTTTTTTTTTTTTTTTTTTGAGAAAATAAAATTGAAGGACAACTCTAGCGAGAGCTTCAAAACAAAAATTATTTAAACAAAAAAAATCCATAAAATATTAGAAATGTTTAAAAGGTAATGTTTTAATAAAAATGAGAAGCAACAATTCTTTAGTTAAAATATGAAATATTAATTAGGGGGAAATTAGGAAAGAGAAAATAAAAATTTTCTACACATTAAATGCATGTGTAAGTTGATTTCACATGGCATGAATTGAGTGGAAAAGACAAGTTGGAAAAGGAAAATGAGAAAGGTAGCTAGCATTAGTACAAATAGATTGTATAAATAACATTTTTGTAGCAAATTATATGAAGTAAAATATTTCTACCGTTGAAATTTGTTTCTTACCGCAATTGGAAGCAGCACTAATTGGCACTCACTCACTAGCGACTCCGATAAAGACCCCGAACCACAATGCGTCACAAAGGACCCCACTTAAGATCATCTATAATGAAGAGGGTTAAAGGTTCAAAAGCAAACAAATGACATGATTTGTCCAAAAACTCATCTTCAACCGCAGACAAACCTATAGAATCCACTAGACTATTATTTGGCCAAATGGGCATTGGGCTGGCCAAATGTAACTCCCTTCTTAGTCCTTTTTTTCGAGTTCAACTCATCTGTTACAATAATTAATTTAAATTCAACGGCTAGATTTAAAAACATTCAAATGTAATTTAATTTAATTAACTCATAATTTAAAGTATAAAATTGAAACTAATAATTTATTGAAGGGGCTATATTTAACCCCTTCAATTGGAGATAATATGAGTATGGTCTGACACTATTTATTTAAAAATAATATTTTGCAAGGCTATAATTCTAGACGAGGCTAATCTCTTTCGGTTGAAGATGGCCTAAGGATTTCTCATAAGACTCTTCCAGAACCGAAGAAACCTGTTTTTCAGATGCCCATGGCAGACGGAGGGAGAAGACGGCAGAGGCTGATGGCAGACGGACGGAGAAGACGGCGGAGGCTCCTCCAAATTCAGAAGTGTCACATGACTATGAAAGTTCGTAAAGGCTTTCAAATGCAGTTGGTCCGCAAACTTAATGGGAATGCAAAGTTGGCCCGCCAAATTTCCCTCTTGTACAACTGAATTTTTTTTATTTTTTTATTTTTTTTTTTCTATTGAGCTTCAGCAAGTTAATTGTTTTTTTTACCTTGACATCTTGCAATTATATTGCAACAAAAATACAAACCAGACGAAAGTTGATAGGCAATGTAACCTAACTTTTACTGTAAACCCTTAAAACTCTAAACCACAGGTGCAAAACCGCATGGAGTGCCGAGTGCCAGTGGCATCGCCAAGATGTGCACTAATTCTCTTCGCTAGCCGTAAGCAATTATCGAACTGGCCTGGCCAAAGCAAAGCAGCCATCTGGTTTTACTGACATTAATAACTCTATGAGAGCGACCTTAATGTGGGCACTGCAATGACAATGAGTATGGTCCCTATATTAAATATGGATGTCGGTGGTTTCTCATCTATCAAAATCATGCATTTATCTATTTAATCATTGTTCTAAAAATTTATGCCGATGTGCTAGGTTGCTGGTCACCGATCTGATTAATTTTTAGGTATTTGTAAATTAAAAAATGACGACAAAACCTGTTTAGGCGACCGCTTAAACCGCCTAGGCGTCCGCCTACTATGCCTAGATCGCAATTCTCACTTTGACAAAAAATAGATAACTTTCATTTTTGTATTATATTTTTGTAGACATCGAAATTTTGGTGAAATAAGTATTCACCAACACATTAAAGTTTCAACATGCCAAGGCATACGTGATATACGCCATGCATACACAAGTTGTACACATGGATGTGACTCATCAAAATCGGATGAGTTATCAAGAAGGACATGTGTCAACACTTGGTGGAAATGAATTATTTGATTTTAATTTAATTAAATCAAATGTTGATTGATGGAGTCAAATTACGAACTGGCTCACAAATCGAGTCTTGGTTCTTTCATCAATTAATCAAACCCACAATCAAGGTCAAATCCATCCGTAGGCAAGACTTGAAGAGTCTATAAATACGAAGTTTCAAGATAAAGAAAGGATTCAAAAATCATTTCATGCCCAGATGCTGAAGTTTTGAAACTTTGAACCTCTCAAGCACTCAAAATCCCCAAACACTCAAGAAGATTCGGAAATCTATAAATACGGGTTTAATTGCTCATTGTAATTAGAGTGAGTAATAAGATTTACTTAAATAATTAGAATTTTGTGACATATATTGTAAATATGTTATAATAATTGGTTATATATTTGTCTACATGGTAGTGTATTTGAAATTTGAGTTTTATTTGAATGTTTAAAATTTAACGGATTTTTTGTTTGGAAAATAGGAGTTCAAAGGCCTATTTCTAAAGAACCCTAGTTCTAATTCTCAATTACATTCACAACTATATCGAAGTTACATGCTTTCTAATACAAACACAAATTGGATACATATTACGTACTCGCTAGTAGGGTGGTTCGGTATGGGATCCCAAACCAAAAATGGGATCCCAAATCCCAAACCGATTTTTTTCGGGACAGAGTTTTGAAAACCAAAACCGAACTGAAATGAAGGTATTCCCGAATTTCGAGATTCCCGAAATCTTTTCGGGATTTCGGTATGGTTCGGGATTCATCAACCTCCCACTTTCCCTGCCAGCCCACACGGCCACACCTCATCATAGATTCGTCGACCTTCTCACCCCCATCTCCATCCCTCGCATTCCTGGGCTTGTCTTTGCTGCCTTCGGGAGTTGGAGGGCTTTGCGAAGTGCATCGAACAGAATCAGGTATCGACCATCATCAATGTGTGAGCTTTTCCATGTCTTGCCAAATGAAATCGCCATCAGAGGATTGGTACCAAAATTTTCGGGATTTTCGGTTCAGAATTTTTTCGGTTTGGGATCGGATTTTTTGGGATTTTTTTTCCAGCCCTACTCACTAGTGAGGTCTAGACTATGTTACGGGGGTTCCGTCTATCCGGATGATACGGGCAGGCCGGTTCCATCTTGGAAATTCACCTATTTGTATGTAATTTGAGTTTAAAGTTTCTAGCATGTAATGGGGTTTAAAAGTTGTTTATGCAAACTATTTTTTGATTTTCTACCTTTCTAAGCCTTATAACAAACCTTCTATTTTACCATATAAGTCTTATGATGTCAATAACCATTTGATTTTTGTAAACCAATTCTTTTTATTTGTTGGTTCATATAAAACAAGATCTGCACTCTCAAGTGGTCCTAATGTTCACCAACCTATGTATTATTATTTGAATGTGTTTAACTTTTAAGATTTATGTTTATCTACCAAACAAATTTCATAATTTAAATTCATTCAACCGTAATAAATAAGATGATGAACAAAAATATTTTCTAAGTTATTAATGATTGGGCCTGGAAGTCGGCCCACTGCCGATTGGACCCAAACTACAAAAACACCACACGGCATCGTTTTGATTCCCGCTTGAACTGCTTCGTTCTCCTGGTACAATTAAAGCGTCTCTTATCAGTCTGGTCGTAAGAACACCATTTTTAGCAATAAATCCAAAATCTGCAGAGAGAGAACAAGTTTCCAAGTGGACTCGTTCTTCACCGATTTCCGTAAGATTTCGCCTTTCTCTGTTATATTTTATCGTTTTTCTGGGATTTGATTGATGTTCGTTTCTGCATGTTTACAAATTGCACCTGTTTGGTTCCCGAGAAAACGAAGAGGAAAAAGAAAATGTAGTTTTCTTACGTATCCTATAAATTTTGGGTAAATATTATTCAAAATTTGAAAATGGAAAATTTATCAGATTCTTGTTCGGCTGTGAATAAAACTAGAAAAATAAATTAATTTTGAGAATGATCGTATGATTTTTTTTCGTTTCTATTTCTTTTTTGAAACTCCGGTAGGTTTATCTAATATTGTCTGTCCGAAGCCCGGATAAAGGAGGAGGGGGAGGGTGTCAGTTAGTCAACAGCCGGCACTGTCATCTTACGTTAAATCCTTATGATAATAAATCTTAAATGAATAGGAAGACTTTTGGAAGAGGCTCTAAGAAAAAACTTAGAGTATTAGATTTATCGGAAGACGTGACACAAATCCAAGCGCAATGGAATTCTTGAATTCATAAAATGTTTTGTTGTTGTTATTTTTTTTTTCTGAACGGTAAATCTGGTAGTCTAGGTTAAAATGTGTTTAGGAATTTGGGGCATCACATTTGGTTTATTACCAATGCTTTGATTTTTTTTTAAATGGGGGATTTTTGCGTGGAAAGAGAATTTAAAAAAAGATATAAAGTACGTGAAGCTAACGGAAAACTTTATGCAAAACTAAGTGTAGTGGCGTTCTAGAATTCATACAGCAGACTCCACAAAACGGGATAAAACTTGGTTTTTGTTCTTGTTGTGGTGGATTTTTGCGTGCATGCTTTTGCGGGTAAATAGCAGATAATTTGATTATTTGTTCATAATTTATGATATTCTCTTTATTTATTTATTTTATATTTAATTATTTGAATGGGATTATGCTTTGCCATTGTACAATGCTGAGATGCTTGTTTGTGAATCCCAAATTCCTTTTATTCAGAACGAAATTTGCTATTCGGGAACATTCTTGTTGCGACCTTTAATGAGGAGATACTGATGTTGCAGAAAACATTTTGAGCAATGGGGAAGAGGAAGTCATCGGCAAAACCGCCTCCTAAGAAGCGTTGAATGCCGCATGTGAGTGCCTCTGTTTGATTTCGTGTCTGGTATTTTGAGTTCTCTTAACCATCTGAAGAGGAATCCATAACCCGGAACTAGTTCTAGGAGACCTTACTGAATGTTAGGTTCTGCAGTTTTTTTAGTCTTGTAACTTGCTTTTATCGTTTATCTTCGCTTCACCGACATGAAGAACTCGATTGGGGAAGCTTCTTGTAGAATATGCCAAGAAAGCTTCAGCACCACCATCACAGGTCTGTGCAAAACTTGGTCCCTTGATTTGAAACTTATATCCCCTTTCGTTCGAGACTTGGGAGTTGAATTTTAACTGGATGACATTTGTCAGTGGAGATTCGGGTTAGCAAGAAAAAAAATATTAACGTAGGAACGAAGTTACAGGATGGTTTGGCCGCCTTTGACCGCTGATTCGCTTGTGATGGCCTTCAACTCTTCATCTGCCCTCGAAATTAGGTTGTTATGAAAATGTCATTTCTCAGGAATTTATGCGTTTCTTTTATTGCTTTCATCTAATTCCGATTTCCTCTCTGTTTGCAGCTTTATGTGAACCGATAGACGTATAAGTAAATTATTTCCCTCTATTTCTCTTTTTTCTCCGAACCCTATGTCTATCACCAAAGGGTAATCCCCTGGTCACATGCGCGCGCACGCATTTATGTGAGAGTTGCAACTCCGCAGCTACTTTTATTCATGACGAAAGTTGTAACTTTGCAGCTACAGCGAATGGACTGATGAATGCGAGCGAGTTAACAACGTCGAAGATGATGGCGATGCTTAGGAGGAAGACCTGATGCCTAGAAATCAATAGTAGTTCTGAGTAGTTCCAAATAATTACCAAACCATGCTTGTTAAGCAAGTTTTAAAGATTTCAACGAAGACGTGATGTGAACATCTGACTTTGTAACTTTTATGTGTTAGTTATTTATGCACTTAGGATGGTCACCCACGAGGAAAGTGATTTTACACGCTCGGGCAACTGTCACGAAGCATGTCCCGTGGACCCGACCTGGTTAGGCAGTCTTGTCGAAGTTTCTCTTATCTGATGGATGAACCGTTAATGCTGTGGATATAAAGTAAAGAGAAATATTATATGGAAGTAATTGCCTAATGAATTATTGTAAAATCAGCATTTACAAATTTCCGAGGGATGGTTTTAAACACATACAAACAACATAGAAACTGCATAATTAGACAGATATATTATATACCCAAGAAGACGACATGCCGTCTGAACAAAAGTTTAATGCCCAAATACAGTATAATTGGTGGCAAATGGTGATCATTTCATCCATCCAATTCCACCCTTCGTCATATCACAATTAGTTTATAAAAATGCAGTGCGACGAAGTGACGAAGTTAGAGTATGCTCGAGCGTCGGCGGCATTCCGTGCAACGAGCTATTCGCGCTGTGTATATAGAGCAAAAAATGTGCTTGACTTCATAGTAGAAATGCATGATCCCGCCACACTACGTAATGTAAACTGAAAATTAAGGATTGGCATGCACCTTACTCCAGCCCATCAAAGTTCTTTGGTTAGGTTAGGTAATAGCCGTTGACGTCGTCAAGAAGGTAGTCGTACGGTGCACCTGATCCGTAGTCAAAAGTCGCATTTGTCGTTGCCCCTCGATTTGGAGAGTAGTAGACATTTCCGACACCAACCCTTGCGTTAATTTTGGCCCTGCCCTTGACAGTGCGCTTGTTATCGGTGGGGAACTCGGCAGAAAGCCTTCCCATCTGCTTCTGCAGATCAGCAACTGAATCGTTGGTTAGTTTGCCCTTGGAATTTTTCTTCCCATCAACAAGTTTCAGCTCCAATCTATACAAGGCACAAACATCACACTTGTTGATCTCGTACTCGTAAAGGTGCCACTCAAAATGGTTCAATGGTTGGGGATCCATATAGTAAGACCTCTTCAGCCCTCCAAACTCATTCATCACTTGCTTCCTTGACTCATGCCAACCTCGTCCGTTGTAATCTGGCAATGACCTCTGTTTTCTGTTACCGCTCTCAAAAGCTCTTCGAGGCTTATCGAAAAAGAGCCACTCCCTGATTACCTCACCCTCAAGAACCGAAAGATCAAAGAGTTCTGGAACCACAAGGAATTGATCAGTTAAATTCACAATAAAAGTCACTCATGACTTCTAAATAAATTTTACAACAAAACGAGGATAAAAACAGCTAACATGCACTTACCACGTGCATTCCATGGAGACTTCGCAGTAGCCGCTCCCTCGCACTCAGGGATACCAACACTTTTTCCTTGTGCCTTTGCACTAAGAGCAGCAAAAAGTAGGCCGTCCTTCAGGCCTATGCCCCCAGGTCTAAGGACCGGACCCACGCCTGGTGGTCCTTCATTCAATGCCAAAGCAGCATGAAAGCTACTGCAGTAGTCTAGCCACCAGTCCATCCCTTGAGCAGGCCTAGGGCAATCCCAAAGTGCACACTTTGGGCCCAAGAAAGCAGATGGTGGAGGAAAAATACTCGGTAGATAAGTAGAAACCTGAGGCAACGTGTCCTCCCCACTCAAAGCTGTGCCACTAAAACAAGGATAGAAACTCTGCTCAAAGTCTTGATGCAATTCAAACTGATGATAGTCCAATTGATTAGCCCCTTCCAAATTGTTAACAGCAACATTGCGAACTCCTGAAGGGGAGCTTTTGCACTGATCAGCCAACGGGATGGCATGTTCCTGTTGCCCTTGATTCACACTAAATCCCTGATATATGGTGTTTGCAACCACCAGTGAGTGCTCATATACAACTGATTAACTTTTCATTTCAAAGTGGAAGAACAAAGCACATAGCTATATGGATAAACAACAAAAAGAAATTGAAAAGAAAAAAAAAAAGACCGGTTAACAGTTCAGAAAAGAGCAAACAAAAAGAAAAATAAAGGGGGCGAAACCACCTCATGAAAGACCGAACTTCCTCCAACTTGCAAGTTTTGATCATTTGGCTCAGGTTTCGGTGCAGCTAATGGACTAGTGGCATCATCTTCCTCTTCACATAGCTGCAACAGCCGGTAAATGTCTGAAGAGAACGAACCAAGACTGCCACCCTATATTCGCCATAAACACCAAAATTCACAACCAGACCCTTTAAAGCAAAAGCATAACCACATATTTCATAAGTTGTTGTATTACATAAACGCAACAGGACGCTTCTAATTACATATCTAGTTCCACATATGCACTCAAGACAAATATGTATTTGATAAGATCAAAATGCTTACCTGCTGCTGCAAAGAAGAAGCCGGGGAGGGCTCATTTAGCTCGGCTTTCCACTCGCGTAGCATCTGATGCACTTGTTCTTCGAGGAGTGCAGCATCGATGGAGCGGCTCTCCTTTCTGGCAAACTGGAGGTCCATGAACATGCCCTGCAAGTCATCAACGCGGTTCTTTGCTTTGTCCTTAAAAAGCTTGTGAGAAGCGGACTTGCAATTGCTCTTTGAACCCTTCATCACACGCCCGCCCCCTTCTAAACCCTACAAATCACAAATCAGACACAAAACCAACTCAGATTATCGAAAATCCATCAAGATCAAGGCTTTAGCAAGACACACACAAACCCATCTCAGATTACCAAAAACCCACTAAGATTAGCATATAAACAAAGCCAAAAAACCTGAATTACGAATAACAATCACGAAAATTCACCATAAATCAGATTAAATCCATAAAATTAACTTAAACAGAAAGAAAACCAAAACTAATGGAAGTGGAACCTCTACTGATCAGAAGCAACCGCGCACAAATGGTATGCGAATTGAGTGAAATTCAGCAGTTAATCCAAGCTCACCACCGAAAGAGAATTGGGATCGGGAGGTCGAGAGGGTTTGGGGTGGCAACGACGAATGGTGTGGAAGTAAGAAAGATAAAAAAGAAAAGAGAAAGTCGAAATATTCGAACAGAAAAGGAGATGCTTACCCAATAGTCTCTCTCAAAGTGTTTGATGCCAGTTAACAAATTTTGGGTGAGTATTTTTGTGTGGATTTGTGTTGGGGTCTCTCTTGACTTCTGTAGAAGGAAGGGGCGGTGGCTTCTCTTTTCGCTCGCTTTCGCTCTCTCGGTGTCTGGCTGGCGCGCCGTGGAAAGTGAAAGCACAAGTGCCGCCAGCGTGGACGCGGGTAAAGGGGTTGAAAGAGTGGGATGCATGGGCGGTGGCGAATGACATAATCACCATTATTTTTCTCATAAGAAAATTGCCCTTTGACTTGTGATGATTAAAATACATAAATCCAAAAATATAAAGGTCCAGTTAAATATATGGAACCATCACGAGGTGTCACAGTAGTTATGGACAAATTTCAAATTCGTATTTCACACATCACATCTTGAGTTCGAATGTTAACGTGTGTGAATCACACGGATTCATCATAGGGAGGCATGGTCGTCATAAGAAGGTTGAGATGGCTCTGTGAGTCTTTCTGGCCTCTGCAAAGGCGAAGTGTAGTGGTGAAGCCACGATCCCCTTTTATTTAAAAAAAAATGGAATTATCCTCAATCTCAGTAATGAAAGTTTGAAACTGAGTAGTCTATGACATCCAATTTTCACTTTGTTGCACATTTCTTTTTGATACAAACGATAGTGTGAGACAGAAAATCAAACTTAAGACTTCTTGTCCAACAATAAAGTGCATGGTAGCATTTTTTTAGTAGCAATTGAGAGAAACATAGTTATAGCTGGGTTTTTTTTTTCAAATAAAAATAACTTATTTGATATGAACATGGGAGACTGATTTGGACTTTTGACCCCTTCTATTTATTTCATTTATTGTCATGTTTATTGTTGAGTCCATATCTCCTCCTTTTAAATATCTATGAAAGAATAAAAATGGTACACTATTGAAAGTGATATTTTTATAAGAAGATTATTTTTATCTTTTTACTTTTGCTACACACGATTTTTGCATTTCTCATCCTTTTGTTTATGTATAATACTATTTCATTACAACATCTCTAGTTAATTATTTATTCCGTTGGTGTTTCGACTCTCAACGGTTATAACCGCTCATTTAGGACTATTTTTGTAAAAATTACTTATGTTCATAAACGTTTTTGCTATAAGTGTAATAAATGGTCATGTTCAAAAGATAAAGAAGAGTTGTAGGGATTATAGGTTTAATAGCAGATCGAAGTCTCCCTATTTCTTTGTGGGAGAGAATGAAAGGGAAGACAAATCGACCAAAAAAGGATAAAGGGAGCATCCACTACTGCCAATACCATCCATCGGATTCCTAATTTGATGCCGGTTTGTGGAGATAGAAGATAATTATAAGGGGGCTTTTTAGCTATAAAATGGTCATTGAGATTGACATCATTCCTCATTTTGATTATTGAGATTGTCCACCATCAATCATTTTGGTAATTCCATGAAAAATCTCCGTTAAGTTGATGGTATTTTGGTTAAATCAACCCCTCCACTTGAGCTGATGGTTTCTTCAATTTAACGGAGATTTTTCACGAAATGACTAAAATGATTGACAGCAGATGTTTAAAAAATACCTTAAAAGGGATGTTTGGGATGCTGTTATGTGTATCACTACTAAATATAAATCATATCCTATATATATTGGGCTGTTAAAGTGTCAAAATAGTAATACTCCACAATTTAAAACAAAATATAAACTATATAACAACATATAACTCGATTGATAATCATTTCATTTTTGTGCGATGAAAAAAATTAACGGCAGACTTTTGTCGCAAACCTCTGTTTACCAAGGGGAGTGAGCTACATTTCCGTTGTATCTTGCCCTACTACTTTCTCCGTTTTCCCTTCTCATTCTACAATATTGTATGATGAGCGAATCCGTTTCTCTTTCTTATTCTACTGAAATCAAAATCTCTCTTTGTACAACCTCTGCCTCCAAATGTGTAAAAGTTTTGCATCCAAAAACCGATTATGGCTGGAAAGTTAATGTCACACCACCAAAGCCATCATTAACTTGGCATACATCTCTCTGTTAACAAAAGTTTATAATTCCGAAAGCAATGAAGCCAGGCTTCAATCTAAAAGATGCCCGGCGGTCAAAAGAATCTAGGGTGAAAATTTTATCTCGGCGACAAGGGCATTCTATGAATTAAAATCGGGTT